CCTGATGAAACATTCCCCCTCTAAATCAAAAGGGGATGGGAAACACCTATATTTAAAATCAAGAAAGGGAAACCCTCTTCGCAGAACATTTTTGTTTCCCAAAAATTTGCAATTTCCCGATCCGCAAGGGACCCTCCTTGGCTAGTGCAAGAACTTTTGCCCAAAACCTGTCAGGGGTGACAAAAAGGGCAGGAAGGGGTTTGGTATTTACTTTTTAAAAATTCGTTTTGCCCAAAAAAAATATTGGGGGCCCCCAGACAAGTTGGGGGCCAAAAAATTTTTTGAAAAGTTGTCCCAGACCAGCTAGAAAGCACCTCTAACTCGCATCTTTTAGCACTGCCTAGAAACCTTTGAAAAATGGCCCTCTCTAGGGAAAAGAGGCAAATGTAGTCCCATTTCAAAAAAAAAGATGAGCAGAGCAAAAAAATCAGCAACTACAGACCAGTGTCACTCTTGTTTAACCATGGCAAACTCTTTTAAAACAAAAAATTTAAGGCAAAAGACAAAGTTTTTTGACTACCACTTACTACTTTTTTGACCGTCAAATTGGCTTACAGGAAAGTTACTCTGCCTTTTCATCCCGTTGTTAAACCTCTCCCCCTAAGTTTCCCCAGTACTGGAAAGAACCCAAAGTCAGCGGGGTGGGAGCACCCGGGCATTGCTGGCCTTTCGACCCGGGTTTTGGCACAAGGGGCCCCTTAGCAAAACTGCAACTCTGGGGAATTTTCAGGCCCCTCTGCTAAACTTTTCCTCACTGATTAAATTTCATCCCAAACTCTAAGGGTAGTTGTCAAAAAAACAGAAAACACAAGACATCCTATTGGGGCAAGTGTTCCCCCAGGAAGCGTTCTTGGAACCATTGTTATGGGAAAGTTTTTTTAATGACTTTTTTCATCTCATCCCCGAATCCCAATTTAAAATGCAGAGACTGTACACTTTACATTCACTTATTCCCAAGTGAAGAAATGCCAGCTCTCTAACTACTGATTCACCAGCAAAAAGCTTAAACAGCTTGGGAAAAAAAGAGGGGAAGGAAAAATTTGCACCTGAAAAACCCCCAAATGGTGATGGGTCCCTAGGCACCAAAGATGGTAATGCCCGGGGCAGTGTAAGGAAAAATGGAGCGTGTTGGCCCTTGGGGGAAAAAGTTGATTCCTTGGGGGTGGAAAATTTTACTCCAAACTGAAACCATGAAAAACCAAAGTTGTAAACAAGGTAGCCAGGAAGGTTTCAGAACATAGCCTTTTTTCTCGGATCGCTTGAAAGTAGGGGTTTTCAAAAAAATTTTTTTATGAGACACAAAGTTCGCAACCCTTTTAGTATGCTCCACTTTTTTTGGTTCGCCCGCCCCCCTTTAACCATCTGCCATGCTTTTGGGAGATCTGTCAATTTAGCAGAGCCTTTTAACACAAGGGGTGTGGGGGGTCTTACGTTTGGGACAAGGGGCCCAAAGTTGTCAAAGTACCCCACTTAGATCCACTTCGAGGACAGCATGAAAAAGCCCCTTTAATTTCCACAAAGCGGGCAGGAAGCAGCAAATTCACTCTGGCTGTTTTCCCCTTTTCCAGAAAATCAAATTCTTTTTGAGAAAATTTATCCCCCGGTGACTCGAGTATGGAACCCCTTTGAAAAGCATTTGATGGGCATCGAGATAAAGGGCAGTGATCAAATTAAAAAGTTCCCACCAAAGGCCCAACTTCATCCTTTCCTTTCTTTTGTTTTCATAACAAAAAAATCTTTCAAATGAGCTGTTTTAGGTAACAGCTCTTAGCCCTTTCCAATAAAGGTTTGGGAAACCCCCTTAAAACCCGTAAATAGCTTGGAATAAAACTAGGAATCCCCTTTAAACCCAAAAACCCTTTTTCAAACACTAATTAAATATTTTTATATATATATAAATTTTTTAAATATATATATTTATATTTATATTATATATTTTTTTTATAAAAATATTATATATATATATTAAAATATAAATTTAAAGTAATATTTTTATAAAATATATAAAGAGAGGGGAGAAAGGGAAAAGAGACTAAAACTATTTAAATAAACAATTCCAGCAATGTAACAAGTAAACACGTGTGCGACAAACCCGGGGACGTTTCACCCCCCAGTGACCCTTTTCAAAATCATTGCATCTACAACCTTTTACAGTTCCTGGGATATAATCATTAAAAATATGTTGCAAAAAAACTTTCCCGAAGAAGAAGAAAAGGCATAATTTCGCAAAGTGGAAAATACTAAAATAACCCCGGGCATAGAGAAAATGGGTTCCCGGTCGGGCCTTAAAACGTGTCGTAACTTCTCTCTCCTATGGCGGGGGATTTTTGAATTTAACCCCCCAGGTCTTTTGAAACAGCTAAAATACCCATTTTGATGCTTTTTTACTTTTTTTACAATAGCCTAAATACAGTTCCAGTACCTGTTCTTTTTTTTTCATCCGTTGTTTTCCCAACCCAAATCAGGGTAAACCCCAAAAAGAAGAAACACCTTTTAGCATCACTTTCTCCCCTACTGTCTTGCCAGTGTCGTGCCCAATTTCTTAGGGGTTTAAAAAAAACAAAAATGTTCCCAGTCGTCCTTTTGAGTTCAGGCACTGTACTTCCCCCTTCCAATTCGGCTAACCGGGAAATTTGGTTAAGGGCCCAAATTGGGTGTTGCAAAAAGTGCAACCCTCCTGGAACCTCACTGTATTCGTCCCTCAACGGGATATAAATGCTGTTTAAAAAAATTTTCTTTCACACTGATTCTTCCACAATAAAAATTTTAAAAAAACTTTATTCCAAATGTAAGGGGGGCAACTTAAAGACCATAGTGACATAAAATGAATACCCATAAAAAAAAAGTCCTTGTTATGTAGGGGCATTTGGGAAACTTTGGTAATTTTTTTCCCATGATGATACCCACACCAGTGGGTAACACCCGTTATCTACTTACTGCTAGGTGAAACAGGGACAGGGAAGGGGTAAGAAGGGTAACACTCAAGGGACCAACTTACTGAAAAACAAAAAAGGCACAAAACCGTGACTGGAAAAATACACAAAAACCCCCACATAAAAGACAGAAGCTTAAAGCGACGTTTTGGTCCGCTTGGACCATTTTTTCCAATATTCCCAAGCCCCGGGCCGAAAAAGTCGTCGTAAGTTTATCTTTTATGTGGGGTTATTTGTGGGACCAACCCTTTCTGCTTTTTGGAAATGGGACAGCAGGTGTAAGGTGACTAAACCCAGGTACCCCCCCCCCCCCACTTACTGCTAGGCAAACCGGGACGGGGTAAGGGACTAACCCCCAGTACCTACTTACTGTAGGGGAAAAAGGGACAGCAAGTGTAAGGGAAAAAAATCCCCCTGTTTCCCCAAGTAACCCAGCATCGAACCACGGACACTCAAATTTGTGGGTAAGAGGGCACCCAAAACCAGCTCAGGGCAAAAATGCGAGTTTAAGAAAATAAGAAATGAACAAACTCAGTGGGCCTACTGCCCCACACTTGGGCAGTAGGCTACGGGGCAATTTGTTGAATGCTGTGTCACTTGAGTTTCAAAATTACGCGTATTCACGCATGATGTGTGAAATTAATGATCATATTATTAAGACAATGTTTGTGTTTTCTGTTTTCCCCGTTAGGCTTCCAGGCAATTATTCTTTTGAACATTAAATGGTATAATACCGACAGATGTTAGGTGACACAACACCAGTAGGTACCTCTTATTTCGAAACCGGCTTGTATCGTGACTAACATACCCAGTCATACTAAATACTAGGGAAATACTGGAAGACATGTAATGAAACAGTCCCAAATTTTTTCCCATCGTCGAGCATTGTACCATGGACACTATGGTTGAGTAAAAAGGGCTTCTTATAGTGCCAGGAGGAAAAAGTGCGAGGTTTAGGGGACATGCATGAACAAAGCAACCTACTGTCCACCTTGGCACTATTAGGCCCATCCAATTTCATTCAACTTCTATTGTTAAAAACTTGCAAGCTTTCTCCAACTGAGGCGACCACCTCAAATTTTGGTGATGGTAAAATATAATGATTTTAATATTATTATTTACAATTTGTGTTTTTCTGTTTTTCCCCTGTTGAAGGCTTCCTGGCAATTTTTCCTTTGTTTTTCATCGATTTTCTTGATCTTATATGTGGTTATCACGTCAGATTTAGTGTAGTTTTCTTCTCAGACTTTTGTGATTATCACGTCCAACTTATATGTGGTTATCATGTCAGACTTATAAGTCTGTTCCACTCAACCACAACTCTATTACCAAACCAGTGCTTTCCTTTTTTTAACCTAAATTTTTCCAACTTAAAAACTGTTGCTGCGAGTTTTGTCTTGGTTAGATAATTTTAACACATTATTTCCATTACCTTTATTTATTCCTGTTTTCCATTTGTACACCTCAGTCATATCCCCCTTTAGCCTACAGTTTTTTTAAAATATCTTTGTTCGTGTATGTGATACACATGTACGTGACAAAATAGGTACATGTGCGTGACCTAGTACGTCACCTGGTAAGAAAATTTGTATTTGGCCTAGTACACACTCTTATTATAATAATAACTTTATTTACTACAAGTACATGTACAAGGTATACAGTCCTAGCTGACAACAATGACATACTACTATATAGAAAGTCCCTTGTTATGCTCCGCATTTCGGGTAAATTAGGACAGTGTCCCAGGATGCGACCCACACCAGTCGACTAACACCCAGGTACCTATTTTACTGATGGGGAACATAGACAACAGGTGGAAAGAAACACGTCCAATGTTTCTACTCTGGCTGGGAATCGAACCCAGGCCCTCGCCGTGTGAAGCGAGAGCGTTAACCACAGGCCACAGAGCCCTGGTATCTGAACAAGTGACCTGATAATAAACCTGTTCCCTGGCTCGTCAACAGGCATATGACCTGTTATGCGAGCAGTAAGCCACACAGTACCTTACATGGATAGTGACCTGGTGAATGACTTGGTGTGACCTGGCAAATAACCTGGTTGTTCCAGTTTTTCAGATCTGCTAGATGACAACCTGATAGATGACCTAGCCTGCATTCAGAAAATCATTAAGGATACCGAGAGATGGAACGGAAAGGGTGTGGAAACTTATTCAGTCGTAAAGTTCCACACGGCAGATACGACGTACGAAGATCCCAACATGTCACGAATGGAACATCTTGAGTTGGGGGGGCCCTTACACCCACCCAAAACGCACACATACACCCAGGTTGGAAGGTACATTTTAATTCATAGATTTACCCTAGAAGGAAGAGGTAGCTAGTTTATACTGTTAGTGAACTAATATTACGGGAGTTATTGAGGCAACTGTAGCTATAATAATGTAGACCTAAGACCTTAACATAGGTTGTATAGCCGGTAATATAGGCGATCTTGGTTTTGTTAGCTAGGGGGAAAACTGGCAGCCCAGTTTGAACATCGAGGACACATGGGATTTTGAGACCACAGTGCCTCCTTCTTTGTCCCGAAATCTGAACGAGGCACACCGCCAATAACATCAAGGCGGCGCCCACGTGTCTACACATAATAGGGCCCGGGGAAATCTGGTGGGAGGCACTCGATGTACCGTAGATGACATGCTCCATCAGGCCCATACAGTAAGACGAGACCTCCCCTTTCGTTCTCAGTATTCTGATCACCAGTTTCTGTGGGAATTTGCGGGAGTTGAATTGTGGGTATCTTTGTGCAGTGGACGGCAATGATCAGTATGTGCCGCGGTCTCCTGGTTGTTAAGCTTAGAAGCTAGTGTACACTTCCTGCATGTTGTACTAGGGGATACACACCCCCTTGGAAATAGGAATTTTTGAGGTGCAGGCAGGTCACTGAATACTGAATATTGCAGGAATTAAGGTCCTGGTTGCACGTGGTTCTGAGGGGAAAAAGTCCAGAGGGGATAAGACTTAGGGAGGCTGAAGACCAGGATTATTCTCAACACCAAGTAAGTAGTCCTTTATTTCGTGCATGCAGGCGAGATTTTCTTGTGCAAATCAGTCATTTATGGAAATCTGTCCTATAAGCCACTTGTGAGGTGGTGGTACCGTCTCAGGGCTCGAGTGTCAACAGAGCTTTGCTGGGTAGGACAACTCATATGGAGGCAGTCCGGACTACAAATTTCCACAAAGGAGTACTGGCTAACAGCCGGGTCAGTACAATGCAGTATACATACATATATATATATATATATATATATATATATTATTTATATAATATTATATATATAATATAATATATATATGTATATATGTATATATGTATATTTGTATTTATATTATATATATATATATCCTAATATATATATATTATATTATATATATATTATTATACGATAATATGTATATATGTATATATGTATATATATTATATATTATATATATATTTATATATACTATATTGTATAATTTATATATATATATTTATATATTAGATATATATTTAATTTATATATTTATACATATATATATATATTATATATTTATTTATATATATATATTATATATATATATATATATATATTATCATATATTTATTAACCATTTATATATATATATGTATATATATATATATATATAAAAAAAAAAAAAATACATATATATATATATATATATATATATATAGTATATTATAAATATATATTACATGTATTGATATTATATATATATGTTTTTTTTTTTTTTTATTAATCACACCCGGCCGATTCCACCAAGGCAGGGTGGCCCGAAAAAGAAAAACTTTCACATCATTCACTCATCACTGTCGTTGCCAGAAGGGTGCTTTACACTACAGTTTTTAAACTGCAACATTAAACCCCTCCTTCAGTGGCAGGCACTGTACTTCCCATCTCCAGGACGCAAAGTCCGGCCTGCGGGTTTCCCTGAATCCCTTCATAAATGTTACTTTCCACACTCCAACACACAGTCAAAGTATTAAAAAACATTTGTCTCCATTTCACTCCCTATCAAACACGCTCACGCATGCCTGCTGGAAGTTCCAAGCCCCTCGCCACACAAAACCTCCTTTAACCCCCTCCTCCAACCCTTCTAGGCCGATCCCTAACCCCCGCCTGCCTTCCACTTACAGACTGATACACTTTGAAGATCATTCTGTTTTCGCTCCATTCTCTCTAATGTTCCGAACCACCTCAAAAACCCTTCCTCAGCCCTTGGACAACAGTTTTGGTAATCCCGCAACATCCTCCTAACACTTCAAACTACGAAATTCTCTGCATTATATTCACACCACACATTGCCCTCCAGACATGACATCTCCACTGCCTCTCAAGCTTCTCCTCGGCTGCAACATTCATCACCACGCTTCCACACCATAATAAGAGCGTGGTAAAACTATACTCTATACATTCCCCTCTTTGCTCCAAGGACAAAGTTCTTTGTCTCCCAGACTCCTAAGTGCACCACTCACTCTTTTTCCCTCATCTATTCTATGATTTCACCTCATCTTTCATAGACCCATCGCTGACTCGTCCACTCCCAAATATCTGAATACGTTCACCTCTCCATACTCTCTCCTCCAATCTGATATCAATCTTTCATCACCTAATCTTTTTGTTATCCTCATAACCTTAATTTTCTGAGTCATAACTTGTCACCCTTTGATTTTCTTCTTTTGCACCACCCTACTAATTCAACCACCAATCTCTGCAACTTCTCTCAGAATCTCCCAAGAGCACAGTGTTTCAGCATAGAGCAGCTTTGACAACCCTACTTTGTGTGTGATTCTTTATCTTTTAACTCCCGCCTCTTGCCAGACCCTGCATTTACTTCTCTGACAACCCCATCTATAAATATATTAAACAACCACGTGACATCACACATCCTTGTCTAAGGCCTACTTTTAATGGGGAAAAAATTTCCCTCTTGCCTTACATACTACTAACTTGAGCCTCACTATCTCGTCCCAAAATCTTCACTGCTTTCAGTACTACCTCCTACACCATACACTTGCACCATCTGCCACATTGCCCCCTATACCACCCTGTCATACGCTTTTCCAAATCCATAAATGCTATCTAAAAGACCTCTTTAGCCTTATCTAAATACTGTCTCACTTATATGTTTCACTGTAAACACCTGGTTCACCACACCCCTACCTTTCCTAAAGCCTCCTTGTTCATCTGCTATCCTATTCTCCGTCTTACTCTTATTCTTTCAATTATAACTCTCCATTACATTTACCAGGTACACTCACAGATTATCCCCTATTAATTTTTGCACTCTCTTTTATCCCCTTTGCCTTTTATCCAATGGAACTATGCATGCTCTCTGCCAATCCTAGTCCTTACCCTCTTCCATACATATATTAAATAATTGCAAACCATTCCAAAAACTTATATCCCACTGCTTTTTAACATTTCTATCTTTATCCCATCAATCCGGCTGCCCTTACCCCCTTTCATTTTACCTACTGCCTCACGAACTTCCCCCACACTCACAACTGGCTTTCCTCATCCTAACAGATGTATCATTATAAGCCCGATACAACGAAATCACAGCTTCCTATCTTCCTCACAACATTTAACAATACACCTCCCCAAAAAAATTCTTCCATCCTTACCCCCCCCCCCCCCCCCCCCCCCCCCCCCCTACCTTCTAAACTCTCCATTTAAAACTCTCTTCCTATTTTTAACTGACAAAATCAATTTGTTTCTCTAGGTTTCTTAACTTGTTATCCTCACTCCAAAACTTTTCTTTATTTTCAACAAAATTTGTTGATATATTTATATATATATATATATATATATATATATATATATATATATATATATATATATATATATATATATATATATAATATATATATATATATGTTGTATGTACCTGGAGAGAGTTCGGGGGTCAACGGCCCCCCGCTGCCCGGTCTGTGACCAGCTCCTGATGGTCAGAGCTGATCATCCTGGCTGTTTCTGCTGGCCTGCACATAGCCAACGTACGAGCTCACAGCCCGGTGGTCAGGGAACCGACTTAGGTGCTTGTCCAGTGCCAGCTTGAAGACTCCAGGGGTCTGTTGGGTTAATCCCCCTTATGTATGCTGGAGGCAGTTGAACAGTCTCGGGCCCCTTGACACTTATTGTATGGTCTCTTAACGCCCATGCTAGTGTTACTCCGCTTTTCATTGGGGGGGATGTTGCATCGTCGCCCAAGTCTTTTTGCTTTCGTTAGTGAGTGATTTCCGTGTGCAAGTTCGAGTACTAGTCCTTCTAGGATTTTCCAGGTGTTATATAAGCATGTGTCTCTCCCGGCCTTTTTTGGGCAATTCCAGGGATACAGGTTCAGGTACTCAAGCGCTCCAGTAATTTAGGTGTTTTATCTCGTTATGCGCGCCGAGAAGGATTCTCTGTACATTTTCTAGGTCAGCAATTTCACCCAGCCTTGAAAGGTGCTGTTAGTGTGCTACAACAATATTCCAGCCTAGATTTAAAACAGTGACTGAAGAGGTCAATCATGGGTTGCACATCCCTAGTTTTGAAGGTTCTCATACTCATTTCCTGTCATTTTTTCTAGCAGATGCAATTGATACAATGTTATGGTCCTTGAACGGTGCGATCTCGACAGATCACTCCCAGGTCGTTGACGTTGGTTGTTTCGCTCTATTTTGTGGCCAGAGTTTTGTTTTGTACTCTGAGGAAGATTTAAATTCTCGTGTTTACCATATCTGAGTAGTTGAAATTTTCTCATCGTAGAACTTCTATTGTTGTCTGCAGCCCACTGAAAGGATTTGGTTGAATGGCGCTTGGAGCCTTGCAGGTGTCTGCAATGGAAGACACTGTCATGCAGATTCGGGTGTCATCTGCAAAGGAAGACACGGTGTGTGGCTGACATCCTTGTTATTCTGGATATTAGGTGAGGAACAGATGGGAGCGAGTATGTGCCTTGTGGAACAGAGCTTTTCATCGTAGTTGCTCGGACTTTGCTATGTGGGACTACTACTATCTGTGTTCTGTTAGTGAGGAATTATAGATACATCGATCGACTTTTTCCTGTTCTTCTTTAGAACGCATTTTGTGTGGCTATTACGCCCATGGTCACACTTGTCGAGGCTTTTGCTAAGTTGTATATTATTTTACATCTGCCATTCTTTTTGTTTCTAGTGCATTCCAGGACCTTGTCGTAGTGATCAATAGTTGAGACTGACAGGAGCGACCTGTTCATAAAACCCAATGTTGCCCTGGGTTGTGCAATTTATGGTGGTTATCTTGCTTTCTTAGGACCCTTTCAAAGATTTGTATGATATGGGATGGTTAGTGCTATCGGTCTGTAGTTTCTTTGCTATTGCTTTACTGCCCCTTTGGGGGTGGGGGCTTTGTATCTGTTGTTTAATAGTATCATGTGAGGACGATCCCGTGTCCATGCTCCCTCTCCTTAGGATGGTAAAAGCTCGTGATAAGGGGGCTTCTTGCAGTCTTGATGAACCACGGAGTTCCAATGAGGCTATGGCCCTGGGGACAGAGTTGCATGGGGCATGTCATTTATCGCCTGTTCGAAGTCATTTGGGTCGGATAACATCAGATAGGCTTGTGTACAAATTCTGTGCTCGCTCATAAAAAATTAATTTTGGATCTTTCGACTCTCAGTCTGGTTAGCGCTTGCTAAAAGCTGGTCTATTGGGACTTGAGTAGCTCACTCCTTTCTTGAAGTCTCTGTGTAGGAACCATCTTGTTTATTAGGGGCCAATACTGGACGTTGTTCTCGGACTTTGATTTGGCATAGGATGAATAAATACCTTGGGTTTCTTTCGATTTCATTTATGGCTCATTAGTATCTTCCCACGATTCCTGACTCCTATAAAGATTCCTTTGCTTAAGTTCGATGTTGCTATTTCTCTGACCAGTGTCTCCCTATGCAATTTCAGATATATTGACCTCTTTTTGCCGACTCTGTTATTCTTTTCCGTCGCCTGTAAAGGGAGCGCCTGTCTCTTTCTATTTTACATCTACTCCTCCTTTTTCTTAGAGGAATAAGCCTTGTGCATACATCGAGTGCCACCGAGTTAATCTGTTCTAGGAAATAAGTTGGGGTCTGTGTTGCTTAGTATATCTTCCCAGCTTATATCGGTTAGGACTTGGTTTACTTGGTCCCACTTTATGTTTTTGTTATTGAAGTTGAATTTGGTGAATGCTCCCTCGTGACTAACCTCATTATGTCGGTCTGGGGCTCCGCGTTTACATGTCTGAACATCAATTATGTTGTGATCTGAGTATATGGTATTTCATATGGTGACATTTCGTATCAGATCATCATTGTTAGTGAAGATGGGTCTAGTGTATTCTCCAGTCTAGTAGGTTTCAAATTATTTGCGGGTTTAAATTGAATTTTGTGCAGAGATTTAAAAGCTCGTGTGAGTGTGAGTTTTCATCAAAGCTGCCTCCTGGTGTTATTTCTGCAACAACATTATTTGCTATATTCCTCCATTTTAGGTGCCTTAAGTTGAAATCCCCCAGGAGGAAGATGTTGGGTGCAGGAGCTGGCAGATTTTCCAGACAGTGGCCAATTTTTAACAGCTGTTTCCCGGAATTGCTGGAATGTTGCTCCGGAGGCTTGTAACTACCACCCAAAGACTAGGTTTTGGTTCACGATCTTTACTGCTAAAACTTCCACTATATCATTTGAGGCATTAAGTAGTTCCGTGCAAACAAGTGACTGCAATGTACAGGCCAACCCTCCCCTTTTGCCTGTTCACTCTGTCGCATCTGTATAGGTTGTAACCTGGGATCCATATTTCGTTGTCCAAGTGATCCTTTATGTGGGTCTCAGTGAAAGACGCGAACATTGCCTTTGCCTCTGCAAGCAGTCCACGGATGAAAGGTATTTTGTTGTTTGTTGCTGGCTTTAGACCCTGTATATTTGCAAAGAAGAATGTCATCGGACTGGTGGTATTGTTGGTACTGGGGAGGGGGATTTTTTTTCCGGCATTAGTATCTGTATCTGTCGGTTTGGAGTGGAGGCCATCGACTGTGGCTCCACTCCAGGAATGACTGGATTTGGTGTACGATTTCTTCCATTTCCTGCCAGTTTTTTTTTTCCTTCCTGGCACTAAAAAACCTCTCCCTCTTGAGTGGCTGTGGCTACCCAGGTTTTCCCATGGCCTGGATGTTTTGTATCTTTTTGTCCCCTTTAGATGGTATGCCTGGCAATTTAAGTTATAGCACAGTCTTTCCTGTACTGAAGAGGTACACATTTCAGGGTGAAAAAGCTTACAGGAAGGGAGTTTGCATTTTCCTGTTGTCATATGGGCACGGCATTTTCTAGGGTGGTCATAGTTGCACGTCCCATCTGCTTTTCCAGATTTCTCATGCCTGCAAATACCAAGTGCATAGTATGTGCACAGGCTTGGTTCCCGTTTGCCTTGGATTTCTGTGACTGTATTCCCTGTTGGTGCATGTTTACCTGTCTTATTCCTATCCTCCCTAGCACCAACAATGGAGCTCCCACTAGTTGTTTTTGGTAATATATCCTCACTATTGTTAGTGGAGTCCTCTTGTTTGCTATTTCCTGTGGTATTTCTAGTTTGCAACATTGGTTTTATCTTATCTTTGACTACGCTTGTTTCCCCACTACGGCTCCTGTCTCCCATGAGGTCATTTATATGCATTCCTTCCTGCGTATAATTCCTGACTACCTGGACAAAATCTCCAGCTTCACCATTACTGTCTCCCAGGAGAGCACCTCCAGCTTCACCATTACTGTCTCCCAGGACAGCACTATCAGCCCCCACATTTACTGACTACCAGGACATCACCTCCAGCCTTACAGTTTCTGACTACATGGCCAGTATCAAGGGCAGTACCATTCAGCCCAGACTTTTTATGTTCCCATCTGTTTTAGAAAGCTTACAGGTTGTCTATGAAAGCAGCTTTGATGTTATCCTCTTTTAATACAAAGTGTTTTTAGTCACAGATTTTTCTTTATAGGGCCTATCTTTGTATCTCAGCAACTTACTCATGCACTGAAATCCCTTCATATTAGGACAGCTTACCGGGTGGCCTGATTATATTTATTGTTTGTGTTTGAAAAGGGGCCCCTACAACCCACCCTTTACAGTTTTTATTGTCCAACGAATCCTTTGAAACCGGGTCGAGGTTCCGAAAGTCGGGGGTTCGCCCAGTAAAGGGGTTCGGAACCTTGTCTGTCATGGGTCATTTATTTAAAAAACTGGGCTAACACATGAAGGAGCTCTGAAATTTTTACCCAGAAATATGTGATTGATTGATACAAAAGTATATTTTAAAATTATTTTTATATTAATATATTTTAAATATATAATATATAAATATATATTATATATATTTATATTATTTTAAATTTTATATATATTTATTAATTTGTGTGCCAATAGAAGAATTGCGATTTGGCTTAAATAGAAACGCTCTCTTGCCATATGGGAAAAAAATAAAAAATTTGTGTATGCAATAATTCGCCAAAATCATTAAACCCAACGAAAAAAAAATATTTGATTGGTTTTTTTAGTATTAAAATTTTTGTAAACTATTTAAAAAAATATTTAGTTGGGGTTTGGGGTAAAAAAAATTGTTCCTGTTTAATAAGGTTTTGGTAATTTTTAAAATTCTTTTTTGGGGCAAAATTAAAAAAAATTTTTCATTAACATTAATGAAAAAAATGTTTTTCAACGTATAAGAGAAAATTTAAGAAAGGATTAATTTTAAATGAGTTCTTGCTAATTAAAATTTTATATTTTTCGGCACGAATAATAATAATATATATAATATTATAAATATATATATATATATATAATATAATATTTTTATATATATATAATATATATATATTTTATTCAAAATATATATTATATATATAAATATATATATATAATAATATATAAATATATTTTTATTTTTATAATATTTAAATTTAATTTTATATATATATTTATTAATATAATATATATAATAAATATATATTATATATATATATATAATATTTTTTTATTTTTATTCACACTGGCCGATTTCCACCAAGGCAGGGTGGCCCGAAAAAGAAAAACTTTAAACCACCCATTCACTCCATCACTGTCTTGCCAGAAGGGTGCTTTACACTACAGTTTTTAAACTGCAACATTAACACCCCTCCTTCAGAGTGCAGGCACTGTATTTCCCCATCTCCTGACTCAAGTCTGGCCTGCCGGTTTCCTGAACCCTTCATAAATGTTACTTTGCTCACACTCCACAGCACGTCAAGTATTAAAAAACCATTTGTCTCCTTCACTCCTATCAAACACCTCACGCATGCTGCTGAGTCCAAGCCCCCCGCCACAAAACCTCTTTTACCCCCTCTCTCCAACCTTTCCTAGGCCGACCCCTACCCACCTTCCTTCCACTACATACTGATACGCTCTTGAAGTCATTCTGTTTCCCCTGCATTCTCTCTAATGTCCGAACCACCTCAACAACCCTTCCTCAGCCCTCTGGACAACAGTTTTTGGTAATCCCGCACCTCCTCCTAACTTCCAAACTACGAATTCTCTGCATTATATTCACACCCACACATTGCCCTCAGACATGGCATCTCCACTGCCTCCAGCCTTCTCCTCGCTGCAACATTCATCACCCATGCTTCACACCCCCTATTTAAGAGCGTTGGTAAAACTATACTCTCATACATTCCCCCCTTTGCCTCCAAGGGCAAAGTTCTTTGTCTCCACAGACTCCTAAATACACAAATCATTCTTTTCCCCTCATCAATTCTATGATTCACCTCATCTTTCATAGACCATCCGCTGGCACGTCCACTCCCAAATATCTGAATACATTCACCTCCTCCATACTCTCTCCCTCCAATCTGATATTCAATCTTTCATCACCTAATCTTTTTGTTATCCTCATAACCTTACTCTTTCCTGTATTCACCAATAATTTTCTTCTTTTGCACACCCTACCAAATTCATCCACCAATCTCTGCAACTTCTCTTCAGAATCTCCCAAGAGCACAGTGTCATCAGCAAAGAGCAGCTGTGACAACTCCCACTTTGTGTGTGATTCTTTATCTTTTAACTCCACGCCTCTTGCCAAGACCCTCGCATTTACTTCTCTTACAACCCCATCTATAAATATATTAAACAACCACGGTGACATCACACATCCTTGTCTAAGGCCTACTTTTACTGGGAAAAATTTCCCTCTTTCCTACATACTCTAACTTGAGCCTCACTATCCTCGTGAAAACTCTTCACTGCTTTCAGTAACCTACCTCCTACACCATACACTTGCAACATCTGCCACATTGCCCCCCTATCCACCCTGCCATACGCCTTTTCCAAATCCATAAATGCCACAAAGACCTCTTTAGTCTTATCGAAATACTGTTCCCTTATATGTTTCACTGTAAACACCTGGGCCACACACCTCCTACCTTTCCTAAAGCCTCCTTGTTCATCTGCTATCCTATTCTCCGTCTTACTCTTAATTCTTTCAATAATAACTCTACCATTCACTTTACCAGATATACTCAGTAGACTTATCCCCCTATAATTTTTGCACTCTCTTTTATCCCCTTTGCCTTTATACAAAGGAACTATGCATGCTCTCTGCCAATCCCTAGGTACCTTACCCTCTTCCATACATTTATTAAATAATTGCACCAACCACTCCAGAACTATATCCCCACCTGCTTTTAACATTTCTATCTTTATCCCATCAATCCCGGCTGCCTTACCCCCTTTCATTTTACCTACTGCCTCACGAACTTCCCCCACACTCACAACTGGCTCTTCCTCACTCCTACAAGATGTTATTCCTCCTTGTCCTATACACGAAATCACAGCTTCCCTATCTTCACCATTTAACAATTCCTCAAAATATTCCCTCCATCTTGCCAATACCTCTAACTCTCCATTTAATAACTCTCCTCTCCTATTTTTAACTGACAAATCCATTTGTTCTCTAGGCTTCCTTAACTTGTTAATCTCACTCCAAAACTTTTTCTTATTTTCAACAAAATTTGTTGATAACATCTCACCCACTCTCTCATTTGCTCTCTTTTTACATTGCTTCACCACTCTCTTAACCTCTCTCTTTTTCTCCATATACTCTTCCCTCCTTGCATCACTTCTACTTTGTAAAAACTTCTCATATGCTAACTTTTTCTTCCTTACTACTCTCTTTACATCATCATTCCACCAATCGCTCCTCTTCATTCCCGCACCCACTTTCCTGTAACCACAAACTTCTGCTGAGCACTCTAACACTACATTTTTAAACCTACCCCATACCTCTTCGACCCCATTGCCTATGCTCTTATTAGCCCATCTATCCTCCAATAGCTTTTTATATTTTACCCTAACTGCCTCCTCTTTTAGTTTATAAACCTTCACCTCTCTCTTCCCTGATACTTCTATTCTCCTTGTATCCCACCTACCTTTTACTCTCAGTGTAGGTACAACTAGAAAGTGATCTGATATATCTGTGGCCCCTCTATAAACATGTACATCCTGAAGTCTACTCAACAGTCTTTTATCTACCAACACATAATCCAACAAACTACTGTCATTTCGCCCTACATCATATCTTGTATACTTATTTATCCTCTTTTTCTTAAAATATGTATTACCTATAACTAAACCCCTTTCTATACAAAGTTCAATCAAAGGGCTCCCATTATCATTTACACCTGGCACCCCAAACTTACCTACCACCACCTCTCTAAAAGTTTCTCCTACTTTAGCATTCAGGTCCCCTACCACAATTACTCTCTCACTGGTTCAAAGGCTCCTATACATTCACTTAACATCTCCCAAAATCTCTCTCTCTCCTCTACATTCCTCTCTTCTCCAGGTGCATACACGCTTATTATGACCCACTTTCACATCCAAACCTTACTTTAATCCACATAATTCTTGAATTTACACATTCATATATATATATATATATATATATATATATTTTATATATATATATATATATATATTATATATATATATATATATATATATATATATATATTTATATATATATATATATATATATATATATAAAATATTTATATATATATATATATATATATATTATATATATATATATATAATATATATATATATATATATATATATATATATATATTTCCACTAGGTCCTTTACTAATTGCGGGGTTTCTGGAGTTTTAATCCTCTTGTTGACAACAATTTAGTTTTCTACTTCTTTATCGTCATTGTTCTTCTCTCCTCAGGGTTGCATACGTGAACAAGTGCAAGAATCGCGATCTAAACGAGTACCTGTCCAAGTGTTGGTCAGGTGCCTCCAACATCATCAACATTAAAAACGTGTTTCCCCAGAAACCTGCGAATCAGACAGAAAACGAGAAACCTGTGGACGCTGGGGAAAACTGTCTTATTATCAACCTCATACATGTTCCTACCGGACTTGGCCTTCACACTCCCTTTTCACCAGTACTTTACAACAGCAACCACCCGCTGCCCAGACCTACAGTCGTTGGTTACCTCTGTAACATGCTCAGCTATCAAAACTTTGGAGTCCAGTCCCTGGACCAAATTTGTACCTCTGTAATCTTTTGACTACCGCCCACAGGACGGGTATGGGGTGCATAATAAACATATTAAACTAAACTAAGTTGGCAACCCATTAAGTCACATCTATCAGGTTTTATGCAACAAGAGAAAGTAACTGCGTAACTTTCTGTACCCCACAAACAATATATGTATTTATGTAATATACACAGGTTATAATCATGCCTGATTTTAACTGTAGTTTACAGCTGGGCATTAAATAATGTATCACAAGGACTCCAAAGGAAATAAGTCACGTTATATGACTTTTTTAGGGTTATCGTAGGTAATTTACACTAACAACACTGCACTAGCCAAGGAATCGAACCCATGTTGTACTGGCCCGCCTCATGGTGAGCTAGAAACACATGACACCTTAATCCACAGGACCACCCAATCTGTGGGATTTTTTAATCCCTTTACCGGGCAGGACCGAGTGTAGTCGGTCCTCATAACGTGGTTTTTTGCGCACGTCCTCCAACTCCCCCAGCGCATCTAGGTTCCCATTCTCTATTTCTGACCAATCACAGACCTTCCCTGAGTCGCCCAGGCTGAGCGGTGATGGCGGCTGCTCGCTTCCCATTGGTCGAGAGAGCAGAATGTAAACACTTCTACCTTGCCGGCGCCAAAACTCGTGTTTCTCGGTTGAGTGCTCCTTATATACTGAAGCATTTCACCCAATACAATGTCGGTAAGTACTGATTTGTGTGTCTAGTGTGTAAATGAATAGTTTAGCCATATTTTGATATATATATGAAGGCGTTGTGAAGCATATTACGAGTGCACCATGCAAATGAAAAAAGTGCAACAAAATAGGACCAAGCACAGTCGTTCCTGCCCTTTTAGGTGCAGTTTTCAAGTTTCGGTATATAAATATTTCCATAAAATTTGGTAGTGTATATATGAATTCAGTAATGGTCTGGGTGTGTACAGAATGTTTTTATTGTCCTTCCAGATCAATAAGAAATTGTTCTACGGTGAGTCCTCCAAGGATAACTCGAAATTTGTCTGTGTTTGGGATGATAGTGACTCAGATCAAGACTCAGATGACCTGGATTTCCTGGATAGTGAGGATGAATTCTTGCCACCAGATGCAGAGGTGTCAACAGATGAGGAGGAGGAAGCTGGGCCACCACCAAAAAAACAAAAATTGAACAAGAGGAAGAAACGTATTACTATGGAGGAATACCCTGATGAAGAAGTGCTTCAAGATGATCTTGCTTCTCAAGGAGACACCAAATGGAAGAATGAGGACATCCACAATGACCCTTTGCCTAAATATGAACATATAAAGCCTGTTGAAGTTAGGTGTGCATATGATTATTTTACAGACTTTTTTACTCAAGACATGATAGACAACATTACATTTCAAACTAATTTGTATGCCAGGCAAAAAAGACATACATACTACTTTTCAAACAGATTCTGAGGAAATGACTAGGTTTATAGGTATTCTGTTGCATATGGGTTACACTGTACAGCCATCCATTGAGGACTATTGGAGAAGTGCAAGTAGGATAACTCAAGTTGCAGAAGTCATGGGATCAAAGAGGTTTAGGTTGCTGAGGCGTACCATTCATTTCAATGATAACACACAAAAGAAGGATAATGACAGATTCTACAAAATAAGGCCTCTTTACAATGGACTAACTAAAGCTTGCTTGAAAGTTCCAGCTACACCCAAGCAGTCTGTTGATGAAGTTATGGTTGCTTTCAAGGGTAAAACAGCTGGAAACCTAAGGCAATACATCAAAAACAAACCAGACAAGTGGGGTTTCAAACTCTTCTGTCGTAGCAGTGAAGATGGAATCATACATGATATACTGATGTATCAAGGTAACCCAACTTTTGAGAACCATCACATAAAGCTGTCAAATGAAGAAAATAAACTCCCAATGAGTTCCAGGATTGTTCTTGTACTTGCAGCATCTCTTGACCAAAGAAAAACATCAGCAGTCTATGCTGATAATTTCTTTTCAAGTCTACCTTTGGTCAAGGTACTGAGAGACAAGTATAACTGCAGGTACACTGGAACAATACGTGATAATAGATGTGGTAAGCCACAACTGATGCCTGTGAAAGAAATGCAAAAGAATAATGTGGCCAGGGGCTATTTTGATTTCCAAAGCAATGATCATATCCTTCTTGTAAGATGGAAGGACAACAAAGTTGTGACTCTAGTCACAAATGATGTCGGAGTTTATCCTTTGGGTCTTATTGAAAGATATGACAAGGCATCAAAGAAGAAAGACCACTTTGAGTGCCCAGGCATCATCAAGAACTACAACGCAAACATGGGAGGTATCGACAAAAGTAACATGTTGGTCCATCTTTACAAAACGCCAATGAAATCAAAGCGTTGGTACATGCGGCTCTTTGCTTATGTTTTGGATGTTGCTGTTGTGAATGCATGGCTTCTTTACTGTCGTGATTGTAGGTCACTAAACATGCCATGCACACCACTGAAGCTATTCAGGCTTGAGATCTCTGTCACTGCAAGATCCAAAGGACAAAAGGTCAACCGCACCAGCATGAGACGAAGTCGAGATTCACCCAGTACTTCTTTGGTTGACAGTAATGACTATTTGTCAAACGTGGAATACCCATCTGCATTTCAGTACCAACGTGCAGAAAGGCCAGATGACAGTGTGAGGCTGGATAAACAGCTAGGTCACTGGCCAGTGCTAGGTAAGCTGCTTTCATGCAAGTTTTGCAGCAAAAAGAATAATCATGTCACATCCTCATTTTGCTGTGCCATATGTAAAGTAAATCTGTGCATAAAGAAGGATAGAAATTGTTTCATGAAGTTTCATTTGCAAAATTAGTGATGTGAAATGATTGTTCTTTCTCAGGGAACTCAGGAATATTTCATTTGTAAGTTGCATCCATTGCAATGTGTCATTGTTGATAAGTAGTTCCTATTTCTATTTTTTTACTGGTTACAAATTGTTCAGAAACAAGTTCCATTTATGTTTTTTATATTGTCTACTTGTATAATAAATTTAAAAAATATTTATTTCGTTTTTTTACCACAATTGCAACATTGCAACATTCAAAAATGGTATACCCCAAACGGGCAGGACCGAATATACTCGGTCTTCGAATATCTGCAATTGCGCGAGATGTTACTTTCACAACTCTGTTTGGATGGTCTCAGTGACCTTACATTGAGTGGCTCTATCCCCTCATAGGAAATCACTTTCAAATTCACACTTTAGACTGCCTTGCCCTCTGAAGGGTTTTAAGGTTACCTGTATGAGACTCATCATGGAAATTATACAAATAATCTCACTGGGAAGTGACAACCATATATTGTATACAGAAGATGCCCCGTGTAGACGTGTGAGAAAACTTAAGCCACTCCTGGTCGATCCAAACTACCCCTTGGACCTCACACACCTTAAACACATCTATCCTAGATCAGTATAATAAATTAAGGCTAGATAACACCAATAGGCATGGCGGTACAAATTGTTACGCCATGCCTGTATGCATAAATTGGACCAAGTAGAAAAGGGGGAAAGGGGTTACACGTGTCAACATAATATGACTAACACTTATCCAAGTTTACTGGTGGTCACTGGAGATCTTTGTAGTGCCCACAGTACCTGTCCTATTATAACACCTTACTGGCCAGTTATGAGTCTGATATAATGAGGTTTACTTAACTGTGGGCGAAGAGGCAGCATTCCTTATCTTTCCTTGTTTCCTCATTTCCTCCTCTGTTTAGATGTCCTGCCAAATCGGTAAGAATCTTCTTCCAGCAGGACTATGATATCGCCTAGGGCCGCACGTTTTACATGTGCTTCACTTGGAGAATGGCAACTCGTTTCACTTCACACATTCCCTTAACTTAGTATTATTATCACTGCTTCTTCCTTAGTTCACAAGGCGACTTAATGTCCAGTTAATTTACAGACATTAGAAGTCGATCCATTAAGATCTGAGCCCGATGAGTGAGGCTTGAATAATCGGGTATTTTCCCCAGTGAACTCGCTCATCACGGTGTCGTTGCATCGCTCACTGTTTTCCATTATCACCACCCTATTATGGTGGTTTTGACAACTTACGTTCACCTATTGTGCACCGGGAACAGTTACAACACTTCCTATTATGAAGTGAGACCACTAATCACGTTTCAGCCATCAGAACCACCAATTTCCTAGTTCCATGTCAATTAGGACACCCACACCATAGGCCTATACCCATGCGACTCTCTCATGCCCAGCCTCCCCTCTCCAACCCAGCGCATGCGTAGAACTTCTCTGTTGGTTCTCTTTCACTTTCAAATATTTTAGACCAGCAGCAAGCTGATTTTTTAAAGTTTTGAAAAATTGTTCTGGTTCGGCCTCGCTGTACTGCTTTCTGTAACCTAAAGTCATTTACAACTTGCGAAAACTGCCTTCTTTCTTTTTCCTTATCAAACTCTTCCTTGGCAAATGCCCTCTGTTCCCTAGTCTGCTCAAGATTGATTTTCGCCAACTCAAGTGCCAACGCAAGTTGATTCGCTTTCAGACTACCCAGTTGTATGAGACTGACAATTTTGCTCAGTTGATGTATCATTTTCCTCCAGCGAGAACATCAGTTTTATTCCTGGCTCCCGTAGAGGGAGAAGTCTGATGTGCCATCTCCTGTTCCCAAAGTTTTTCGGTTATAAGTGTATGAGGTTGCGCGGCTGTGAGAGTGCATTCGTTATCAATGCCAATGCAATGAGCAATTTGCCAAAAACGCTGTAGGGACAATTTAGGCAAGTTAAAAAAAGTATATGACGACACCATACGTCTAACTCGTCTAGGTGGCATACCCCAATGTATAAGTTATTTGCCATGCACAATACGATTGCAGAATACCCGTACCCCAACGTAACACGTTATTTGCAGAACATGCTTAGCTATTCACAGTACGACTGCAGAATACGCACATACACTTGCAAGACGGATACACAATAGCAAAGCTGACTGCAAAATCGTCACACAACAAGACTGACCATAGCGAAGCGAGCACACCGAAAAAGCTAGTAGCGACCTGTTGAACTATCGTACAATAGCAAGGCTGACACGCAAAGTTTGTGAAGCATTGGCAAAGCTAATGCAATGCCAGACAGCAAGCTATACAATGTTTCTGCTTCCAGCATCACCCTAGGCTCAACCCGTGCTACAAGTCCAGCTCCAGATCCTGGACATGCCCCCATATTGCAACTCAGGGGTCCCAAATGCCTGTTATCCTGGGTATAAAGGGAGCAAATAAACACACAGAAAAACTTTTGACTTGTATTATCCTTCACCAAGTACGAACAGAATTATGTATACTATATACAATATGTACAACAATAGGTATTAGTGCACTCCACGGCAAGCAAGGCAGAATAGAAGCCACTAAAGAGAAGACCGTGCTTCAACCAGCTCTAGAATGGGAATGACAAGGACAGACAGGTGTGTGGCACCCACAACAACTCTGCAGTTGCCAAAGCCACCTTCTCATTGGCTGGAACCTGGGTACTGATTGAACGATGGGGCCCTATCATCAACCTTTAGCACTTGGTTCGCTGGTTGGGGGATATAGCCTTTCAATGAGGGAGTGTACATGCCCCAAATAAAGGTTACATACGCTTTGCATGCCACAGGATGAATGGTGGAAGACAGTGGTTTATTCTGAATTATTGTATTTGAGTGAGAAAAAGAAGTTAGAGCTTGAAGGAGCGTTAGGACGGTACGTGTGTGTTTCTACATGCCAACATGCGTGAACGTGAATGTTTGGTGATGGTGGGAGACAACGAGACTATTGATTCTATGAACAATATGGTTCGACAAATCATTCTGGCACTAGCAGGAACAATAACAATAATAATAACAATAACAACAACACAACAGCAACAACAACGTTAAATACATTGACATCGACGCCTTTATTAAGTAATAAATATCTGGCACTAAGTGTAATCTTTGCTGGAATATCTTGTCACAAACCAACTTTTAATCTTATATATCACAAGTACATCAAATAAAATAAAATAAAATGAAATCTATTGTTAAGTCACATGTGGTAAACTTTACCTGATAGACAGCAAAGGTGAAAGTAAGGCTACGACACAATGTCGGAAGATGGAAGTAAAACCATTAGTCTACTGATACTCTTAATAAACCATCGTAACTTGTACTACAGTTGTACGAGGGAAGTAACTACTAGACTACTGATACTATTAATAAACCATCGTAATTTGTACTACAGCTGTACGAGGGAAGTAACTACTAGACTACTGTTACTCTTAATAAACCATCGTAACTTGTACTACAGTTGTACGAGGGAAGTAACTACTAGACTACTGATACTCTTAATAAACCATCGTAACTTGTACTACAGTTGGATGAGGGAAGTAACTACTAGACTAATAATACTCTTAATAAACCATCGTAACTTGTTCTACAGTTGGACGAGGGAAGTAACTACTAGACTACTGATACTCCTAATATAGCACCGTAACTTGTACCGCAGTTGGACGAGGGTAGTAACTACTAGACTACTGATACTCTTAATATAGCATTGTAACTTGTACTACAGTTGTACGAGGGAAGTAACTACTAGACTACTGATACTCCTAATATAGCACCGTAACTTGTACTACA